GATAGGCCTTATCTTCTTAGCGTTCTACAGCTTCCAAATCCAGAGCCATCAGTTTGGGGCCAAGCATTCAAATACGTGAGCCTCTGGGGACATTTCACAGACAAACCATTGCACTCTGTCCCTGACCCCAGTAAGTCTGTAGCCACCTCACATACCAAAGTTTTTCCAGTTCACTTTAAAAGTCCCCACGACTAAGTAGCTGCAACACTGTTCAAAAGTCTAAAGTCTCTCCTGGGGCCCAAGGCCATCTCTTAACTAGGAGTCCATATAAAAATAAGCACCAAATAATGCATTTTCCTACCAGTCTTGCTCGGAGCGACTGTCTTCATTCTAAAGGGGAGAAATAGGGCCTGCCCTAGTTTCATGTCTGCTGTGATAAAAACAGCCCAACAAAAAGCAGCTTAAGAGGGAAAGGGTTTGTTTGGCTTACAATTCCAAGTTACACCCTTTTCATGTCATAGCCACAATCAAGAGCAGAAGCGTGTGCCCGACTGTTCATTCTTGCTTTCTCTAAGCTTGGCTTCTTCACTTGTAGATAGATTAGGCTCTCTGCCTAGGGAATGGTACTGCCCACCGCAGCCTGGGTCTTCCCATATCGAGGAACTTAATTAAGACTCTTCACCCATAGACATATCCACAGGTCACCCAACGCAGACAATCCCTCATTGAAACCCTCTTCTCAGCTAATCCTAGGTAGTGTCAAGTTGACAAATGAGCTAGCCATCACAGGGACACAGTACATGGGGATCACACCAAAACAAGACTGGGCTCAGCAGGGCAAACATCAAATTCTTAAGTTCCACATTTGGTCAGAATCTTGAGCTCAAGATGGCACCATCAGGGCTCTGTAGGTTTGGCAAGCCCTCCATCTGTAGCCCTTTTGATTGCAGAACGTTTTCTCTATCGGCCGAGTTCTGCTCACAGCTGCAGCTCTTCTCGGCAGACCTGCACATTTCGGGCACCGCCAGCATTCTGAGCCCATTGCAGCTTAGAACTCTTCCCCACTGCTTCCTGCATGGCTAAGTCAAGAGCTTCCCATTGTCTGGCCTCAGAAGCGGTCTGGAAGCTTGACACAAGCCTCTCTCACCCTCTCACGGATGCATACTGCATCATGTGGATGAGGCCAGAGTTCTGCAGTTTGAGATACAGCCAAGGGCCCCTTCTAACACAGCCTCATTGGTCTCTGAACATCTCCCTGTAGGAAACTGGCAAAACTTCCCTAGATGGACCTGCTAAAGAAGGATGCTCTAGGAGTTCTCTGTTAAGTTCCTTTCTTTTGGATGGAAGCTTTCCAAATGAGTTTGCATTTTGTCCTGAGTCTCAGAAAAGACTAGATGTTTGCTGCAGGAGCTCCTTCTGCTCCTTCAGCCAATAACCGTTGAGATACCAGCCCACTGGGGCGTGGTCTCTTTCTCTTTAAAAAGCAGCTTCAGCCCTCCACCTCTCTCTCTCTCTCTCTCTCTCTCTCTCTCTCTCTCTCTCTCTCTCGCGCGCGCGCGCGCGTCTAGACTCCTTTCCTGGCTGTCGTGTAGGAAGGTGTTCTGTAAGTTTTTTCCTCTCAAATAAATAAACCTTTAAATTCAAACTGGTGTGAAATTGTTTCCCACTTTAGATGTTTAAGCTCCCCAAGAGTGGGGTTTTAGCTTCTAGATGCCATCCCTCTTATTCAAGTGCAAGTGTGTGGGTTCTCCTTATGTGTCAATCTCTCTAACAGCACACCACTGACCTCGTCTCAGCTGTGAACAGCATTAACTCCATTTATACCCCTTTCTTTGCCAAACCACAAGTTTTCACATCTTTCTGCTGTAAATCCAAGAGCAGTGAGCAACCCGCCCCAAGCTCAGTGTTGTGCTGTCTTGAAATTGCTTCACCAGACAACTTAGTCAATGACTTTTGCTGTGGCCACATTCAAATTTCCAAGGCATGGGTCGAATGCCACCAGATGCTTCCTAGACTCTTAACACAATAGTCTATAAACCCATTTGCAACAAAGTCCTTGCTCTCCTCTGGAGCCCCACAGGCCTGGACTTCACTGCCCTAAGACAAGAGAATGAGACAGGTTTTCTTTTAAGATTCTGCAGCAGTGAGTGTCAGGGTGGAGAGAATGTAAAAGTGACAGGCGTGAAACTTTGCTTCCCACAGTCCCTAAACTAACATCTATCCCTACTGTCTCCCCTACCCCCACCCCAGGCTTGTAGTCCAGAGAGTTACAGTATTTCCATATTGAACTAGCACAGCCTACTGCCCAAAATCCCCATCTTCCTGTGGCTCAAGATTCCCCTCTCCCCCCTTTTTGGATACATGGATTTAGTCACGTGGAAGACGGTCTGCAGCTCTTCAATCCTAAAATGAACTGAGAGCAGCTAGCAGGCACCAGCTTCCAGCTAGGGAAAAGCAGGAACCCAGTGCCTCTCGCTTATTTGTGATCCGCTGCTGGCCTCCCAATGTACCTCATCTTGAAAGCAGACCCTAAGGACCCATTTGTTATATTAGGACAGAGAACCTGAGTACCACAATGGTCATAATTGGGGGCTGAGGTGGGAGATTAACTAGGGAAGGGGTAGAGGGTGAAGTCAGAAGACGAGAGTTGACATAATGGGAACAGAAAGGGAAACGGAGGCTTCCCTTAAAAAAACCTGGAGAGGAGATTCCATCAAATGCTTAGAGAAGCTGAATAAGTGTGACAGTGGTGACATACAGAAAGGTGGGGTGGAAGGGGGGTCTGGATGAGAAAGAGAGCTGTCGGAGACATCCTCTGAACAAAGGGACTATCTGACTTCCAAAGCTTTTCGGACAGGGGATGGGAAATTCCACTATGAACTCACTGCTAAGGACCCAGGTGCTGGCCAAGACCACAAACTCATCTGACAGCTCTGAGGGGGGAGGGGCTGGGCTTGCTTTCATCCTCTATGGGGTCTATGTGTTTGCACAGCTGGGACTGTCTGCTGCAAGGGCACAGCTTGAATTCTGGGAGCAAGGCAGCCATAGCACCGGCGATCCAATGGAGCTTGGCGGCAAGCTGCTGTAAAGCAGGAGGCAGGAGACTGGGACTTCATCTCCCTACAGATGTCAAAACAGGAAACACAGGGCAGATACGGAGGAAAGAACGTGGGGCTGAGTGAAAGACCCAAACACTCAGCACAGAGGTTCAGTTTCTTCAGTTAAGCCCCACCTGCCGGACGCTCTGTAGTCTCTCCAAACACATCGGCGTGGGCAACGTGTTCAGACACACAAGCCTATGGGGGTGGTATTTCTCACACAGATCATAACAGTGTGTTGTTTAGCTCAGCTTAGTCATACAACAGTTTATACACGTTTTTAAAACTCTTCCTCTGTGGCCCACCCACCTGCGGCAGGTGAGAGAACTGGCCCCAGGAGTGGGAGAGCTAGCTCTGGTCCTCACAGGCTCTGCACCCTGTCCGGTCAGCTTGCTAGAGCTGACTCCATTGTTGGGGGACTCAGATGAGTAGACCCTGAGGGCATGAGAGCAGGAGAGCTGACAACACCCGCCCCCCCACCTTGCCTGGCAGTCTGTGGCATGGGTGAGGGAAATATGCCCTCCCCGCTCCACCCTTTGCTATCTGCAAGAGAGAAAGCAGGCCTTAGGGTCACTAGTGTGAAAGAATTAGCTCTGCCCCTCACCAAATTCAGCACATAAGAGAGCAGTGGTGGGTGCTACACCCCTCCTGGGAAGCACACTAGAGCTGACCCTGTCATCCTGGGTACAGGTGAGCCAGTCCTGAGGGTGTGAGAGCAGGGGAGATGGTCCCCTTTCTCTCCCCTGGAAGGTTCCCCACAGCAATCCAGAGAGGGTCCTACACCTTACCTGGGCAAAATAATAGAGCTGGCCCTGGTGATGTTGAGTGTGGGTGAGCCAGCTATGAGGACCCGAAGGCAGGAGAACTGGCCTCGCTCATCTATTCGGGTGGTATTGGGTGAGCTAGCCCAGGCAGTGCTGGAGAGCTTGTCCAGGTATTGACGGTGAGGGGAACTGGTAGCTACCACCCAGCTCCAGAACCAGGGCTACGGGTTAGCCCACCCCAACATCCTCCTCATCTATAAACTGTTGGAGCATGTGAAGGGGCTGAACCTCCAGCTCCAAAGCAGCAGGATCCCCATGACAACACCAAGGTATTGAAGAGGACCCCCAGTGAAAACCCATTATCAGCAGGGTAGCAGAAGCCAGAGGCCTTGAGCCAGACCAATGACTCCAATGAGCCGTGGCAATGAACCCTTGTAAGAGATGAATGGACTCTGTGTGACTCAGCAGGCCCCACTCCAGCTTCCACAGTGAGATTTCTCTCCTTTCCTCCTCTTTTGGCTTGCTATGTTTGGTCCTTGGTTTTTCTCTTAAATTTTGTTTTGCAGGGAGGTTGCAAGGGCAGAGGGAGGATGTAAGGGGTTGGGCAGAGTGGGATCGGAATGCATGATGTGAAATTCACAAAGAATCAATAGAAGTTAGAAGTATTTAAAAAACCCTTTTCTGCATGGGAAATGTGTACATAAATATTTGCACATAGATCTGTGGGGGGAGAGGTCTGGCTCTGTGTATGTGTGTGTCTGTATGTGTGTGTGTGCGCACGTGCATACACACAGGGTCTTGTACTAAACTTAAAGTGTTCACATTTAACTGTAAACTGAAGCTCTGCCTGTTTCGGTTCCCAAGTGTTGGCCTATGCTTTCCTACTGATGGACCTTGCTTTTATGTGGTTTTGAGGGGTCTGTACTCGGGTTGTCATGCTTGGCCAAATAAGCTATCCCCCTACCTGATGATAAATATATTTGTTAGTTCTCAATCTGAAGAGAGATGAAAAATTTTTAAAGACGACATTTAAATATGAGTCAGGACAGTGAATACAAACCCACTCTCCTTATCAGGCTAGCGATCCTCAAAGCAAAAATGAGGGTGACTCATTCAAGGCTCCACAATAAAGAAGACTCTGTCCATCTGACTGCTCTCAGCTTGGGGAGGAGGAAGGGGGCTGTGCCCTCCAGTGGAAATTCTTCAAGTGTCCATGTAAATTCTGCACGTGACCTTAACTGCCACCCTCCTACAGGCATTGCAGAGATGGGCCCTGGAAGAAGGCCATCTCCTTCCTCTACCTCCAGCAGAGCCATCTGCCCTGAATAGAATTTGGGGGCAAGCCCAGGGACATATCCAGCAGTGACACCCTCAGTCTGCAGTTCGCGTCCTCAAGGCAGGATAAAAGGCCATGGACTGAAGAGAGGAGGAAGCAATGGCAATGACACTCAAGGCAAAGGCAGAGGTGTGGCTGGCAAGACCCTGGCAGTGCCTGCGCAGGACAAGGGCACTGGGCACCACAGCAACCCTGGCCCCCAACACACTGCAGCCCTTTGAAGCCATCCCGCAGTACTCCAGAAACAGGTGGCTGAAGATGATGCAGATCCTGAGGGAGCAGGGCCAAGAGAACCTGCACCTGGAGATACATCAGGCCTTCCAGGAGCTGGGGCCCATTTTCAGGTAAGGGCCTTCCCGACCCTTAGCTGAACACAGACAGAGCTTCCTGGGCCCCTGGTTGCTCAGGCTCTGCAGGGTATAAGGGGCTGCGCTCCCCAGTAGGCACCAGGCACTCTCTCCTTAGGGAGACAGGGAGGGAGCGCAGGAGGTTATGGACTTGACCCATGGAGACCATGTTTCTCCACATGGACAGGGAAAGGCACTGCTCATGGCTGAGAGGACACAGTGTCAGGAGTGCTGAAGTGGAGAGAAGTCAGGCAGACAGTGGGAGGAGCCGTCCTGGGGGGAGAGCCAGGGCTAGGGAAGGCTGAGGTGAGGGAGCACACAGACAGGGCTGGGTTTACAGGGTGCTCAGGTGGAGGACATTCCCCCCCACAGGAAGGCGCTGTTCTTCACCCCATAGGTACAGCATAGGGAGAACACAGGTTGTGTCTGTGATGCTCCCGGAGGACGCTGAGAAGGTATTTCACGCAGACAATACACAGCCCTGCCGCACGAGCTTGGAACCCTGGGTGGCCCATAGAGAACACCGAGGCCTGAGACGTGGCGTGTTCTTGCTGTGAGTGGACATTGGGAATGAGGAGGGAGGTGAGACTGTGGTTCTGAACTCAGCCAGGGCTTCTCCTCTGTGGGGAGGTGGTGTAGGTCAGGTGGGCAGAGCTTGACAGCCCAGCCTCCTTTCTCCATGGGTGTGGCTATGCCAAGTCCACCTTAGACTTAGTGACCTCTGTCCAACACACAGAAACTGTGTTGAAAGAAAGAAGTGGGGACAGCACTTGCCGAGCCTGCCACCCCTTTGCCCCAATTTCTCTGAGGGGCAGAAAGATGGGCACAGCCTGAGTCAGGCCTTTCCTGGGAGGTGTCCATACCTCTACTCTGTGCTCTGCAGAAATGGGCCTGAATGGCGCTTCAACCGACTGAGGCTGAACCCAAATTTGCTGTCACCAAAGGCTGTTCAAAAGTTTGTCCCCATGGTGGACATGGCAGCAAGGGACTTCTTGGAGGCCCTGAAGAAGAAGATGCTGATGAATGCTCATGGAAGCTTCTCCATGGACTTTCATTCCAGTGTGTTCAACTATACCATAGAAGGTGTGTGGCCTCGGGAAGGTTCCAGCTTGAGGGATATGGGGAAGGCAGAGGTCAAGAAGGAGGAAAGGGGAAAACACTGAGACCAGGGACTGCCTTAGTCAACGATAATATTCTCTCTGCAGCCAGTCACTTCGTTATTTTTGGGGAGCGACTGGGCCTCATTGGCCACGACCTGAACTCTAGCAGCCTGAAGTTCATCCACGCCTTGCATTCCATGTTCAAGACCACCACACAGCTCATGTTTTTACCCAGGAGCCTGACTCGCTGGACAAGCAGCCGGGCGTGGAAAGAGAACTTTGAGTCCTGGGATTTCGTCACTGAGCATGGTGAGGGCCACTGACCTGGGCAGCGCCATGGGATAGGGGGACAATGATCCCATGATTCCTATTCCCATTCATGTCCTTCAAGGAGCTGTGGCCACTTAAGACCCTTCTGTGGTTCCACAGTGAGTTTAGGATTGTGTGACCCCGCGAGGGTGGCACACAAGCAGGGATACTGAGGTGCCAGGGACACGATAAGCTGGGACAATGAAGGAGAAACCTGTCCCAGCATCATGACCAGATGTTCTCTTTTCTTATTCAGTCACGAAATATGTCAAGAATGTGTATCAAGAGTCGGCAAAGGGTGGCCCACAGTCCTGGAGTGTCATATCAGAGCTGGTAGCAGAGGGTGCTCTGCCAATGGATGCCATCCTGGCCAATTCTCTGGAACTCATCGCTGGAAGTGTGGACACGGTCAGGATCCCACGGAGCATAATTCTACTGTGATGGCCCCTCGTGTTCCCCCAAAGCGCAGTTTCCGCCTCACCTGGGTCCCCCAATCTTGTTCCCTCATCATAGCCATTCCCTGCGAAGCCAATGAAATGTCCGAGTAAAGGGAAAGGAACCCTAGCTGGAGAGTTTGTAGAAAAGACCTGCACATCCAAGTCCAGGCACAAATCAGGTTAGAAAGCCCGCACAAGCAGCAGGCTGCCCTCACTTCCTCCAATGTATGAGCATGCTACGGGGCTAGGAGGGCAGCCCGGAGTGAGCAGAGTGGGCGGCCCAGAGTCCTCTGAACTGTGGAGCAGGCATTCCAGTCAGTGGGAGCTTGAGACAGATGGAAGGAAAGGTAAGGCAGATGAAGCAACAAACACCCAAGCTGCCCGCTGATGCAGAAGGGGGAAGATCGCAGGGCGGCCTCTAGGAAACGTGGGTCCAGGTACAAGATTCCTGGCAGTCAAAGGACCCTTCTCTGAGAGACTGCTCTGGGCTAGACTTCTTATTAGGAATAGAGGCCTCAGGTTCTAGAGAAGGAAGAGTCCGTGACACTCCCACCATGGAGGGAGTAGTATTTGGGAGGGGATGAGGACCAGCACAGGGCTTGTGGGAGTGAGAAGCCAGAGCTGCAGGAACAGAGCAAACAGAGATCAGAGAGCCTATGAAAAGGAGTCTGAAAAGCCAGAGCTGTATGCACAGACAACAAGGCTTGGGGAGGCAGCAAGCTACCTGAAGCAGGGGACAGAGGGCCAGATGAGGCCAACAGGGATCTGGTCCCCATCACGAAGGGCCAATAAGACAGCATAAAGAGCGGCTGATATCCCAAGGTGGAAGCTGGAAGCAGACCGGTGACTTCAGGGAGACACCTAGGAGACTGTTTTTATGGGTCATACCATTGAAAAATGCATTCTGGATCTAGAAGCTTAGGGCTCACACCAGTCAGAAAGAGTCAGTGTGAAAAGCTGTGACCCGCTAGAGGTTTGGACAGTAAGGCCAATCTCGAGGGGCATGTGGACAGCCAATACAAATCAAGTGTTTGGGAAGGTAGATGCGGGTGGCACAGTTTCCTTTAGTGACACAGAGTCCATCTCAATGGGCACCAGATCAGATTGTGAGCACCCGACTCTGAAGGTGCTAAGGTGTTGGCCAGGACTGGGATTTCAGGGAACGTTAGAGGAGGAGGTCAGGGTCTGAGGGGCCTACATTGCTGTGGCCATGCACTTCTCTAGGAGAAAGGTATCTTCACAGTAGGGATGCCCTTTGGGAGGGTCAGGCTTGATATCCGAGCTTGCTCTCTGGCTCCTGCAGACAGCAGTCCCCTTGGTAATGACTCTCTTTGAGCTGGCACGGAACCCAGATGTTCAGCAGGCCATTCGGCAGGAGAGCCTGGCAGCTGAGGCCAGCATCGCTGCAGATCCTCAGAGAGCTTTGACAGAACTGCCCCTGTTGCAGGCTGCCCTTAAGGAGACCTTGAGGTAGGTGCTGGCTGCCCATTCCCTGCTGTTCTGTCCCTGTCTTTTCTGGGGCCGAGGGCAGCCATGTTCTCTGCTCTTCTTCCTGTGGCTGGACGCTGTTGCTCCTCTGGAGGTTGGCTGAGAGCCCTGGGGGAATCTGAGGGAGGGAGGTGCAGATGTGGACAGAAGTCCTTCAGAGCTGAGGCCTCTCCCGTTGCTCCCCCACCTTTAGGCTCTATCCTGTTGCTACCTCTTTGGAGAGAATTCTAAGCTCGGACCTAGAGCTTCATAATTTCCATGTCCCTGCTGGGGTGAGTGATCCTCATACAGCCACCAATTGCCCTGTTCTGCACCATCCCAAAGAGGCAGCTGACCTTGCCCTTGGCGTCTGCCCACAGACATTGGTCCTACTCTACCTCTACTCCCTGGGCCGAAACCCTTCAGCATTTCCGAGGCCCGAGCGCTACATGCCCCAGCGCTGGCTGGAGAGGAAAAGGAGTTTCCAGCACTTGTCTTTCGGCTTCGGGGTGCGCCAGTGTCTGGGGAAGCGCCTGGCACAGGTGGAGATGCTGCTCCTGCTGCATCACGTGAGCAGCTCTGGGCGGGGCCTGTGGGATGGGGGGGTCTCCATCTGCACCACGTGAGCAGCTATGGGCGGGGCCTGTGGGATGGCGGCTAGGCTGGATGGGTAGGAGTGGGAAACTAAAACAGACCCTCAGAGTTTATCTGAGCCTGGGCTTGAGCACGCACAGAGCGCCCACAGCGAGGGAAGGGCCTTAAGAATAAGGTGGAGCAGGATGGGACCTGCCAGGCAGCGTGGGTAAACATTGCCTAGACAGGTCTTTAAAGGTTGCTTGGTGGGTGGGTGGGTGAGCAGGGCTAGGTGTGGTGCAGGACGTCCTCTCTGCAGCATGGTGGCAGCACTGAGCAGCTTAGCAGGAGATGGACCAGTGCTCTGCCTCCCACAGTGCCCCCTTGTGTTCCAGGTGCTGAAATCCTTCAAGGTGGAGACAAAAGAGCAATCAGATGTGCAGATGGTTTATCGCTTTGTTATGGTGCCCAGCCCCAGCCCCCTCCTCACTTTCCGGCCTGCCAGCTAGTCACATGACCTGTTTTTGGTGTCTCAGGAGGCCAGCAGCTCCCTCCTGTTCCTTGGGACACTATGCCTGTGGCCATGGCTAGCTTCTTGTCTAGGATCTGACAGACTGTGATTCAAAGCCAGGGAATGGCTCTGGAGGATTATTGTCCCTTCTTTGCCACCTCCTCCCTGCCACACCCAGCCTCCAACTGTGGGTCCATTCAATTGGGTCCATTTAGTGGCTTTGCCTTCCTGTCTGGTCCCAAACATCCTTGTTACTCTCTTCCTGAACCCTCTCCTAAAGTTTCTTTGTATTGTATGATTGTTGTACACCATCAGAAAGGACATCTCATGTCAACAGTGAAAGCCCAGGAGATCACGCGTGACACATTCTCACACGTGAAGAGAGACAGAGCTGGTTGGCTGGGAAACTACTGTGTATGTTGCACACCCCAGATGTCATGTGATATGGCTCAGAGCTCAGGGCACAGTGGATGCTCAGCAATCACCCTCCAGTCCAGTCCATGCGCAGACCCTGGGGAAATGTCCTGGTAACACAAGGTTCAGAAATTGGCTTGCAGGTTTCTCTGGTCAACACATGAGCACATATCTCAAGTCAGACTGAGTTGGGGCATTTGGAGCAGCAGTGTGGTACCCTTCAGCCCTTGTGTTCCTGGTCTTACAGACACCACTGGCCAAAGCACAGTGCAGGGAGGGAATGTACCCCGGGTCACAAGCATACCTAACCACACTCTCTTCACCTCATTCCTTCTTAGTAGCCCTGATAAAATAGGAACTGTATCTTATGAACAATAGAAATGGGTCTGTTTCTGCACTGAAAAAAAAATCAACCCACCCATCAAGCAACCAAAGTCCAACTGGTGAATTGGCAGAAAATGCTTATAACATTCAGTATAAGGCTTTAAATTCCTCAATATAAAAATCACTTTAAGGGCTGGAGAGTTGGCTTAGTGGTTAAGAGCACTTGCTGCTTTTTGCAGAGGATTTGGGTTTGGCTCCCAGCAACCATGCAAAGCAGCTACAACAGCCTGCAAAGGCAGCTCTCAAAGATATGACACCCCCTCTGGACTCCCTGGGCACCTGCCACAAGCATCTAAAGAAAGAAAGAAGAAAAGTCACTTTGAGAAGGAGAGAAAACATCAAAACTCATGGTAAAACAGGAAAAATCTGTGAACAGATCTCTCACACACACACACGAAATGCAGAGTAACCTCCAGCTCTTTCTCTCTGTAGTGGTCTCTCCCAGATGTGAAAGCATTCTAGTCAGGAGAAAACACCATAAATACATAATAAATAAATAAAATAAAAAATAAATAAAAAGAAAACACCAGATGATTTCACATTCATTGATGTGCTGCAGAAAACCCCAACAGAGCCGAAGGATTCCGTCAGAAAGTACACAGGAGAGAAGAGCCTAGAGACATCCACTGTACCACACACTGCACAAGGTGTCTTGGGTTTCTACCTAGGGGCAAAGCTAATGGCTGTTACTGGAAAAACTGGTGAAAATAATTGTCTCCTTTGATTCCATTAATATCGCTCTATAAAGGAGGTGTGTGAGCACACACATATGCATGCATGCATGCGTGCATGTGAAGACAGAAGTAGGCACCAGGCACCTGCCTCTGGCACTCCTCAACTTATTTATTGAGGCAAGGTCTCTTGCTGACCTGAGAGTACACCAGTTGGTAAAAATATCCCACCAGCGAACTCCAGGGATCCATCCACCCCACGTCCAGCTTTCATGGGGTGTGTCTAAACTCAGGATCGCGAGAGCACAGCAGACATTTGACCAACTGTGCTGTCTCCTCAGCCTGTCAAAGTTCATTTTTTCTATTGATGAACACCCCATTGATTATGTGTGATGTCAGTTCCAGAGGAATTTGGCCAAGCGAGAGAGTAAATTCTTTGTACTTGTCTACAACTCGTGGGTAATTCTAAAATCACAGCAAAATGAACAGGGAGAGAGTATGCATGGGCTCTGTCATTGCCACAATTTAGTAATATGTGCTGCATGTTTATATAAAGCAGAGTGGTTGAATAAACCACGATTTGTTCTCAAGTGGCTGGATTGCCCAGGTCTCGCAGCTTGGCCTTGCAGGGAACAAGATGAGGCAGACCAAGGCCACAGAGACCAAAGTGTCCCCTTGTTCCTTTCCTCTCAACTTTGGGCCACCTTTACATCCCTGATCAGAAGCATCAAGGAAGTGAGAGATGGCTCAGCAGTTAAGAGCACTGTCCTTGCAGAGGCCATGGGTTTGGTTCCTAGCACCCACCTGGCAGCCCCAAAATATCTATAACTCAAGTTCCTGGGGATCAACACCGTCTTCCAAACACTGCAGTCACGGCACACATGTGGATCACAGACATACATGCAGAAAGCCATTTACACACATAAAATAAGAGAGAAATTTAGAAACGAAACGTGTATGTACAAACACACCCGCACATACATCTGCGAGCAAAGCCCACGTGCAGAGCACTTTATAGTCGGAGCCCTGCTCAGGTCTCAGGAAACAGCTTGCTGCTTGTAAACCTCACCCAACTGAATGCTGTCTGTGTGACACTCAGCTCAGACAAAACCCCACCGAGTTTTAAATATGCAAATCTCAACGTGTCCATTTCTTCTGCCGTCGTCTCAGGGTCTTTTAAGACAGTGTTTGTTGATGTTGCCCTGAGCGAGTTAAAATAACCTGTAGTAGAGCAGCGAGAGTCAACGCTTACCTTGCTGGAGACATGAATCAGATGACCCTGTCATTTTTAAACTCTCGACTCTTATAAATTCATTTTAATATAATGAAACTTAGTGACTTTAAGAAATGAACTTGTGAAGCAATGAAAAGGAAGTTGTACCCAAACTACAGTCCTTGGAAGAGGACTATATGAGAGTTGTCAAATAATTTCAGATTCTAAACTATCTTGCTACCAAGAAAGGCCACAAAACTGTGTATTAACCATGTGCTTCTTGGTCAAATTAAAAATTTTGAGAACAAGTTTTCTGAATAAAACCAACACATTAAAAAAAAACAGAACTTAAAAAGTCAGCTCTGAAATAACTATTTATTTAAAAAAATAGGCAAATGTGTTATGAGCTTAAGAGCAATCATAAGTCTTAGCATCCACATCAAATGTTTTAAATACAAAATACAGCTATTAAGTATAGAATCACAAAATAAATTGTATGTTATGTGACAAAGGCTGGTAAGCAGACAGCTGATGAAAGTTACTGGGGAGTGTGGACCAGATTCTGGAAAAGAAGCTGTGTTAGGAAAGACCGATTAAAACTGCAGATGGGGCTGGAGAGATGGCTCAGCACTGGCTGCTCTTCCAGAGGACCCAGGTTCAATACCCAACACCACACGGTGGCTAACAACGACCTGTGAGTTCCAAAGGACCTGACAACCTCTCTGACCCCCACTGTCACTGCGTACACATGGTGTACAACACACAAATGTGAAAAGCACCCACACACATAAACAAAACAGAACAGATAAAAACAATTTAAATAACTTTAGAGAAAGCTGCGGCGATGTGTTGCGGCTGGGATGCTGCAGCTCCAGAGGCTGCCTGCCTCACCTCCAGCTGTTTCGTGCTCCAGGACTTCTGTACCCAGGGTCTATCAGATGGGACTAAATCAGAAAACAGAAACCTCACACATTATCCTGGATTCTCACTAGGAACAGTGGGATGGGCTTTCCCACGTCAGTCATTAATCAAGAAAATGTCTCCAAGTACTCGGTCATTAGCCCATCTGATGGAGGCATTTTCTCAATAGATGTCCCTCTTCCAAGTTGACAATTGGACAAATCAATCAGCTAAAGAAACAAAAACCCTCGACAGGCCATCATATTAATTCTTGTGGATGTTCACCCTCCCCCACAAGTTCAGGGTCTCAACTTTTCTCTGCCCTCACAAAAGTAGCACTCCTAAACTTCACTCCAGGGGTATAGAAATAGCCTGGCTATTGTTACCAGCTGGTCAAGGGCGGGGTGTGAACTCAGAGCCTGTGATAGAGGATGTTAGAGGTCAACTCCAGTCCTGAAGATACTGTCCATCCCTCAAGGACCCTTCCTGATCCATGTCCCCCAAATAGGCTTTGACTCCTCTGACAGATGCCTCAGAATCAGAATTTTCTAGAAGGTTCTCCAGTGCTCTCCCTCCCAGCTGCCTAAGACCAGAAAGAAGATGAAGTGTATAGGCACCCCTGCCCTGACAGGAGCTAAAATGCAGCATGGGAAGTCCTTGTTTGGTAGAGGTCAGCTCCTATGGATGGATGCAGCTCACTAGAAACACAGAGGACCTATTCCTGCTGCCATCTATGTGGCCCAAGCAAGCTTCTGATGCCAGATCGATCCATGGGTGGAAATTTACAAATGGATGCACAGTGTCAGATAGTTGCATAGATGGAGGAGAGGAGTTTTATCTTGAGGATGTTTGCTCCTGTTATTTCATCTTTCCCTTTGATCCTGGGTCCCAGTGCATGTTGTGTTTATGGAGGAGGTGAGGGTTCCCCCTGCACCAGCTCAGAGGCACTCAAAGGCACTCAGAGGTAGTGGAATGAAAAGGGAGGGACAAGGGTTAATTTCAGAGACACTGACCAGCAACACTGGCAAGACCAGCTACTAGCTCTTATGGAAGGCAAGGAGCTGCTGGGCTGACAGCTATGGAGCCTGGCTTTCCACCTACCCATCCAGAGATCACAGGACTCAAGTCAGAAGGTTAACAAAGGAAAACAAATTTAATCAGAAGGGTCCATCAGGGTCCAGGGAATTCGTGGCCCACAAGGCATGCTCCAGGTCCATCTGCAGCTTACAGTAGGCTGAGGTCTGTGAGCCCAGGAGCAGCCAGGACCATGAAGCCAGGCAGGAACAGCTCAGTGTATCTGTGTCTTCTCTCACTGGCTTTCCCGGGCTGCTCCCTGAACTGCGGGATTGGAGGCCCATAGTAGTTACACAAGTCCCATTTGCAGCACCTTGCGTATAAGAAGGGCAAGGGCTTTTGGACCACAAAGGGCTTCGGCTGCGGCGCTCCATCAGAAGAGATAATAGTTTCATCTGGGCGCACGGGACAGAATCTGCTGCACTGCTTTGAAGACATGTAGAAACGTCCAAAGAATTCTAATAGGAAAGAAAGGAAAAGATATGATGAGCTCGAGGTCCTGATACCGGAGTCTTTAGGGGTTATCTGCATCCTGGAGACCCTGTCAGAGATCCTACTTAAGGAGAGCATCAATCAGAGGGTCAGAGCCACCGCTTGGGAGGAAGAAGTCCAGGCTGTTCCAGGGTGGACTGTGTGTGGCTCCACGTGCTATGGGATTTGTGCCAGTATTTGGAAACACAGGATCGATCCTTGAGCCTCAACTTTTTAAAAACACAGAATTGACTCAAGCGACTGAAACAGAAAAGCAGATCAGAAGGAGCCCTGGCCATCCTGACTGAGATCCAGCTGAGAGGCTAGTCTTTGAATGTCATCTTGAATTGCACAAGAGAGTTTTCTTCATATTAAGGAATAAAGTTCCAATTAGCTGAATCCAGTCCTGCCTACTGCTCCCCCATCCTACAAACTTCCCAGAACACAGAGAGACACACAGGGATGTGTGTGTGTGGTAGTGGTGATGGGGACGGAATTTAAATGCTCATGCGCTGAAACCCCTCATGTAGGTAGAATGGGATGGGTTCCCTGGATCCACTTTGGGAAGGATGCCCTTCTAGTATCCAGAATTTCTGTAGTGAATCATGGGGTTGGGGGTAGGGGACTGAGTCAGTCTGCAAACACCAAAGCGATGGCCACTTCTCCAAGGGGATGAAGGTGTAACTGACCCTCATCAAACCTACCTAGATGTTGGTCTCAGTAAGGCATTTGACATCACTAGAGTTCTGTTCTTTTAAAGAGAAATAGCTGCAGACAAATCTCTGCTCTTCTCCCAGCTCTCTAGTGCCCATGGCTGACTCCGTTGTTCCTGCCTGGCTCGTGCTTCCCCTCACTCAGGCCGGCACCTGCTGCTCGTGACTTTCTCTTTCAGCATTTTGTCTGTTTGGGTGTGTGTGTGTGTGTTATCGTTGTTACTGTTTTTTTTTTTTTATGGGTCACTTTTGATTGACAGCCCCCATTCCTAACAGCATTTGTGTCCTACCCACAGGATCCCAGGATGAACCCAGAATGAAGCAACACTTACGGATGGCAGCCACCACACAGAACTGTTCTACAGGTTCACATAGCTTTGGATTTGTGCAGTTAAAGCTGTTCTCTGCCTCACAGGAGTGACAGGTGAGTCTTTCTGAAGTGAGGGATAGAAGAGAAAATGGGACATTGTTCCTCCTGCAGGACCAAACCCGCCATCCTAGTCCAAGTGGTGGCCAAGTCCAGTGAGCTCCCACTCTCCCCATGCCCACAGTCTGTGCTTGCCACCTAAGTTCTCAGCCTCCCTGTGGAGGCTCCCCCACCTGTCCACTGGGTATTTCACGTGGTCCTTCACATCCGGGCACACTGCATGAACCCACGTTCTCAAACAGACACTCTTGAGTGTCCAGAAATACCAAAGGGCATCCATTTCCACAGCCACCCTTTCTCCTGTCCCACCCTCCTTGTTTCCAGGTCCCTTCCTAGGTGGGCAATATAAATTCTCCTGCGTCAGGATTGGCGCAGGTCCAGCTAGGGGAAGACAATGGAGGTACCTTCTCCACTAATCCCCCATCCTCAGGCAGTGCTGAAGCTCCAAGGTTAGGGTGGCCTTGGTTTTCTAAACTACCCTCCAAGAGGGATGAGTGATGGGAGAGAGACCAGGCACCCCAGGGAAGGAGTCCACAACTCTTGCCCCTAGGGGAAGTTCCTAATCAGAAGCACACCCTTGCTGGCCTTCACCAGCATACCCCAACCCCTCCATCCCCAGGAGGCCCACTCCCGCCCAGCCCTACCCCCTGACCCTCACCCCTTATCCCTCCACCTCACCCCCCACCACACTGTAGCTTTCATGACACTGGGTCTCTCATTCCCGGACTTTAGTGTGATCTATCACAGTGGGCTCCCTCTGGCGTCACTAAGCTTCATCATCTTGGCTCTTCTAGGGGCACAGGGATGTGGCACTTACTTGCTCCTGCGGTCGGCACCCATGACAAGCCCATGGCTATGAGCAAGGCCAGTAGGACCACCATCTCCAGAGGGCGCCTGGTCCTGTGGAGGAGAGGAGTGAGTGGCTAGCTCTGGTCCCTGATGTCCTCGGTCTGCCTGTCCCAGAAGCCTCCAGTCTCCAGGTCCGGAATCTGTTCCCACCTCCCCCCTCTCCGGACTCCTGCTGCCCTCTCCCCGTGTTCTGCCGCCCCACCTCCACCGCCCCATGAGCGCTCACACCTCGGAGAAACTTCCTCACACTGTTTGCCCCACAGAGTCTCTGCTCTGGACCACTTGCTGACCTGAGAGATGATCCGTTCATTCGCCAACAGCCCCAACCACACTCCCTTCCTCAGCAGTCCGTACCTCAGTGTGTCCATGAGTCCTGGCTTCTGACTGGAGAAGTCTGAGAAGCAGCTGGTCTGGGGCCCGCTCTCCTCACACTGCCCCCTACAGGTGCCGCTGGTGCTCCTTCTGGAACATTCCAGCTCCTGCCCTTCCCGCCAGTGAGGTTCAACCAGAGGGGGCGACTCAGGGTCTGCGTGACACCCGGCAAATGGCGCCCTCTGCCTGACCCCACTGCAATCATTCTTCATGCTGTAGGACCCTGCTCCCCTGGGAGCTGGGCCCCAGAGAGCCCCACCCTGACCTGCCTATGCCACCTGGGGCAGACGTGGTGCCAGAGTATGTGTTCAGATTCGTTCCATGAGTGAATACACGCGCATACACTGCAGGAGGGACTAGGTTAAGGAACACAGCACCTTCCCCTGGCACAAGAAGCGCTACTGCGGATTTGTCAGCCAGATGTCCCTTAGAGAATTCCAGCCAAACTCATTCCCGTTTTTCTTGCTCCCTGTTTACTTCGCTTTCTCCCCACAAGCTTGTGATAATATTTCTTTTTTTTTTTTTTTTCCACAGCTGCATGTATCCTGTATCG